TTAAAGTAGGACCATGTTACGGTCCTACCATAATTTATCAAATGAACATGATGCTGCGTTATAAAGGACTATCAAATGAGCGTGTCAGATCAATGAGGTCACAAATTGAGTGAGAAGTAGGACAGTTTTCTTAGAGGCCCTGCCGACCAGTTTTTCAAACTGAAAACTGGATTCATTTTATTATTCAACATCTAAAGAACAAACTGAAAGCTTACAGGGGCCCAGTCTTGTGATCCGTTGACTTCCACTTGTTTGCTTCTCCCATGTTTCAGCTCAGCCTCCAGGGTCCTGATGCGGGATGCAGCTTGGTCAAGTTGGCCTTTTAGGTGCCGGATACCATGATGAACTCTAGCAGCAGTCTTCTAAAATAAAATAAAAAAGCCTCACAATAAACACGGTGTGGGCTATTATGCAATACACAAAGAAAAGTAACGCGTGTAATTCTAATCATGTTGGATGTTTGGACAAGCTGCAGCTGTTCCTGGATAAACTATTGCAGCCACGGTCAATATTTACAGCTACTAGCACACATGGCAACTGCTCAAAGTTCATCCAGGCCTGCATGATCTTCTACAGCACACTCACCTCACGGTGAAGAGGCATGAACTCGTCCCTCAGCAATGTTAGGACATCCCCATTCTCTTCATCCCCTCCGTTCTCCACATCCCTAAAGTTCAGCACCCTGGTCACTGTGGGTGATGCAGTCTCCTCGATTTTTCCCAGGTACCTCCCATCCCTTTTGCCCAGAACAGGGATTTTACTTCCTGATGGCGAACTGACCGGCTTCCCTCCAATACTTCTCAGCTCTCTCAGCATGAAGTTGACTGACTGATCACTTGCTGAATCAAAGGGGTCATTCCCGTCCAGAGAATCAAGAGACTGAATGGACTCCGTGTGGGAAGGAGCTCGTAACGAGAGACTGGACCCTGCCAGGGAGGCTGGGCTGGAGTTGACGGATGGCACCCTCTGCCAGTGGAGGGGCACGCTCTGGGATCTATCCTGGGACAACGGGGAGAAGGGCTGGAAAGGCATGTGACGAGGAACCCCACAAACTGACTCGTAATCAGAGTCGGACACCCGTAAGGAATCGCAACCTTCGCACCCCTTCCCTTTTCTGCATCTTTTCCCCGTTCTGATAAAATACGGACACGTGTCCCACTTCTCTGACCAGCACTCGTACTCTGAAAGCGCCATATTCTCCTTGAGCATCTCCCTGTAGCCTTCCTTCTCCACCTCTCCTTCCTCCTCGCTGGTGCTGCTCCTGCTCTGAAAGTCCTGCAGATGCCTGTGGCAGTAGTTTTGGCGCACCCACTGTCTGATTTTGTCCCTCTCATGCGTCAGCTTCTGAAGGCGCTCAGACGAAAGCACCCTCACCCTGGCTATGACCGTGTCAAACTTGAACACGCGTTCTAGCAGGCACACGCATTTGCCACATACAAACTCCCCCTGCCCGCCGCCCCGTGGTACAGACTGCCCCAGTATGTGGGTCAACACCGTGAGCAGATCCACGCTCTTGGAGGGGGAGCTCACAGACATCAGGGACTTGGAGAGAGAAACGGAGGAACCAAGAGATAACGTGCTGCCTGTGAAGAGAAACAAAATGTTTACTTTTACACTATTACAATATGTTAAGCATTTATTAAGCTCTATACTCACCCCAGGAGCTGCTCTGTGATGACTGGGACCGGCTCCCTCCTCTCAACGACCCTGTTGGGGTCCGAGGCTGACCAGTTTTCTTATTCTGGCCCCCAAACAGCCACCGCCGTTGGTTTCCCTGGAGAGCTCCGCCACATATTTGGCACTGGTCCTTTTTACTTCTGGAGGACATCTTGGACAGATGGATGGATGGACTTCTTCCCCTTGTTGTCCAATAGACGAGGAAACTGTAAATTAAAGCAGAATTTAGCTCAAATGTTTCATACAGACACTGATGGAAATTCTCATCATTTACTACTGACGGCCTGGTGTTGTGAACACTGTATGATCAATATTAGGTAGAACAAAGTTTGCTTTTGAACTACACACATAAGCTGGATCCATTTCCTTTTTGGCCTGGAGGGCAAAAATTCCAAGATTTTCAAACACAATTTTGGATTTTGATTGATCAGACCACAGGAAGCTTTTACTTCCACCCACTCCATCACAAACGAGGCCCAGAGAGGGCTGCTGGGGTTCTGGCCTCTTTTTGTTTTCTTTTGTTTTGCTTGGTGGAGTTCTAACTTCCATTTATGGTTCCAGCACTGGTCTGTTGTAAGCCCACAAAGTGATTTCCACTACAGAACCATGTGTGTTTTAATGTAATTGCAGCTTGAGGATCCAAACATAACACACATTAGTATTTTTCCACCCTTGTTCCTTGTGTAGAGAAGTTTTTTCTCTATGCTCCAATTCTTTATTTGATATATATCATTTTCACACATCTCAACATTTCTGGAAACAGGGTTGTGCATTTTTATGATGTTTGGATTTACATAACGAGGAGACGCTCAAGCTGGTTTCTTTGTGTCAACAGAAAATATATTATGTTAGTGTACTTTGAGGGCTCTGCAGATTACCGTCTTCTTCTTTGGCTTCCTCCTCTGTCACACCCTCTGCTTGTCCTCCATCACTACATCCATAAATGCCTGGCAGCTCTAGCTTCAACATCCTTTCTCCATCATATCCACCATCCCTCCCGTGCACATGTCTAAGCCACCTCAGCCTCGTCTCTCTAACTTTGTTTCAAAAATGCTCGACCTGAGCCGTCGCTCCCAATGACAACTTTAACACCTTCAACTCCGCCACCAGCTCAGCACCACCGTCTCACAGCAGGTCTCCCTACCATATCGTAAAACCTTCCCTTTCTCTCTGCCTGCTATCCTTCAGTCACAAATCACCCTGACGCCCGTCTCCACCCACTCCACCCTGCCTGCATTCTCAACAACAGGTATTTAAACAGCTACTTTTATTGTCTCTGCTCCTTGCATGTTCACCGCACCACCTAAATCCCGCTCCTTCACACACGTATTCGGTTTTGGTTCAATTGACCTTCACTCCTCTTCTGTCCACAGCATACCTCCACCTACTCCAACTACAGGTCACAGTGTTGTCTGACAACATGATGCAGAGACTTCTGCCTTACCTCACCTGTCAACCTTTGACCCTCTCTTCTCTATGCTTCTCCATCAACACTCTCAAAGTAAACATCAGGTGTGTGGAGCTCTTTCTCAGAATGAAGCCGCACTGATGCTCACTGTTCCTCACCTCTCTTCTTAACCTAGCTTCAACAATTCTTTCCCATATCTCTAGTGTGTGGCTCATCATCTTCATCCTTCTGTTACTACAACTTTGCACATCAACCTTATTGTTGAAATGGATGAGTAGATCCAAGATTCTGTTGAACAATCTGATTAGAAACTTAACTGCTGTCTCTGACATCACCATAGCTCCACAGGTTTGTCATCGGGGCAAACCACCTTTACACTCTTCATAGCTGCCCTCACTTTCTTTTAATCCTCTGCACTTCCTCATTCTCTAGCTTTCCTCCATCCATCCTAGTAACCCTCCTCTCTTTCTCCTTTTCTTCAGTCATCAGCTCCTCAAAGTACTTCTTCCATCTTCCTAGCACACTCTCTTAGAATGTTATGAAAGCTCCATCTCTATTCTGAATCACTCTAGCCTGCTGCACATCCTTTCTAGCTTGACTTCTCTGCCTAGCCAACCATTACAAGTCCTTATCTCCTTCCTTAGTGTTCAGCCTCAAACAAAACTTACTTTTCCTTTGCTGTACACTTAGCTTTTTAGTACTTCTGTCTACAGACTTCATCTCCCTGACTATACCATTTTTTCGTCGAATACCTTCTTGTACTTCCTCATTCCACCACCAAGTCTTCTTGTCCTCAGCCCTCTGCCCAGAGGATAGGCCAAAGAAACTTCTGCTGTGCTTCCTCGGTCATTTGGTAACTCTTTCCTATCACCCAGGGCCTGTGCCAGCTCCACACTGAATCATCTTCCACCATTTAATCCTTGCCTCTGCCTTCATTTGCTTTCTCTTCTTCATTTTCAAAGCCATCCTACAGCCTGCAGACACCCAATCCTGCCCAGCTACATTCTGTCTTTCCGACTGTTCCTTTTGCATAAGATATACTCCCCCACTGTTGCATAAAGCCTTCTGTCTTGATGAAATGTTCACTTTAGCCATGTCCAGCCTTTTGGCACAAACTACTACCATCACCATACCTACCAACACCTATTCATCTACAAGTTCACTCCAATCGTCATTCTTCCCCTGGGGATCCTCCCTGCAGATTACGTATATTGATCTAGTTCCACTATCACAGTGGCATACTAGCTTACTGAGAAGGTAATGAATTTCTTCTGGTACAACATTCATCATAGGCAACAGTGTTCCTGACTTAAAGTTTAAATGGATGGCTGAGAATTGTCTGTATTTTCCAGCTGCCTTCACACTTAGCACGACTCGTTCTGACATTATCAGCAGCCTGACTGGTGCTCTGATTTACAGCTTTCTGTTCCCTCCGTGGATGTTTTGAGCCCTGTGCTGTCTGCAGCTACAGGCTGTTTACAGTAGCTCCCCACAGGGCGGGACACGTCGACCTTGAGCCACGCTGACAGTGAAGTGCAGCCAGACTGTCGATGAATGAATCTGTCTTTCCAGCTTTCAGTCCCTCCGAGCGGCTTTCGCCCTTCGAAGGGCGCTCAGCTGTTTTAAACCCCAGCCTGTCCCGTCCCACAACATGTTTCCAAAAAGGAAACCCATCCCCATCTAGTGGAAAACATTTCAACTCCGTCTATCTGCCTCTATTTTAAGCTACCGAGGTCTAGAGATTGAACGTGAAAGCAGCGTAGTTGATCCAGCACGAGACAAATCCACGGGGAAGTTTTCGAATCGGTGTCAACTTACGCTGAAAGTCCTGCGGGCCTCTCAGAGGGAGGAAGGTTTGAAAGAGCCGGCGGAAAGCTTCATGGTCGCGACAGAAAGAAAGAAGCAGGAGACACAAAAGATTTCCAACCAGAAAAATCTCCACCGGGAACTGAGCCGGAGCTGCGTTGCAACACACCGGAGAGGAGGAGGAGAGGTGGGTGTCACCTTAGTGACGTCACCGTCATACCTGTTAAAGAGCAACAGCTGGAGCGAGTCAGTAAAGATCGTTACTGCTCTCGTGTGGCTCTGCGCTGACTCGTAGGCCCACTACCACGCCTGCTTTCACTAATGTAATGAGACACGCAATCGGCCTTTCTGTTATGGAAGCTTTTTTAATTTTCGCATTATGTACTTTTCATATGAAAAGTAGGCTACATAATGCTAAAATTAATTTTTTTTTTTAAATGTGTTTTTATTTATATATTTAAGTAGTAGTAGTAGTGTTACACAATAAGTCGATGTAAAATCATTAATTATTACAGATCCACTTCTTGACTCTGACCTTTTTAGTAATTCAGCTGCAGGGTCAAATACTAAGTCATTTTTATGCTATTTTGTCACATAGAATCTAATCTGGATGTAAGAAATAATTATGAGGGGAAAACTGCGTATGGAAGATTAAATATATTGAATTTTTTCCTATAAAAATGAAATGAAATGAAAAATATATTAGCTAATCACAATTTAAAGTGAGACTGTGAATCAGTAACCCTTGTTGGAGAAAATGAATTGGATTAAGTGATTGATCACACTCCACCATGACGCTTTAATCTAATCATGAGTGAAGTGTCAGCAGTGGGACAAACTGTATGTAAAATCTAAGCCAGGTCAAAGAGCCGGTTTAGATTTTCACTGCTGTTTAACTAGAAAATATGTTGACTTACAATAACGACTTCAACTAGACGCTGGAGAAAAGTTTGGCAGAAGCATTATTTGCTGGTTTACATTCAAAAGTAATTAAGTCTCTATTCTTATGAGCAAACCTAAATTTGACAATCGTAGGTAGCGTCATAAATCTGCAGTTAAAGTCACAGAGAAGCATGAAAATATGAGAAATTTCTGAGAATGCATTTTAGAAAAAAGTTCATATAATAAAGTCATTCAGGTCATTAGCTGAACTGTACAGTCTGGGGGAACCAGACCAAGCATTGCAGAGATGCAAGTTTTCATGAAATATGTTAATGCAATAATGAAATACACCTCATGAAGAGGAAAATAGGAAATAGCTTTGATATAAATACATTGTTATAAATTACAATACAGTTCCACCAGAGGGCACTGAGTGATTAATCAGGAGCTCAGCTATGCATACAGCCGATTCTTCACCACCACGGGTGTGATACTGACAGCAAGCACACAGTGGACAGGAAGTCTCATTTAGTTATACTCTGTACTCCTGAGTATACTACTTCCTCTCTCCTTGTATATCTTGCTCACCTCCTGCCCTTACACCGCCATCTGAAGGTGCACGGAGCGGAAGTGAGGATGTACAGAATGAGAAATGAGAGCAGCAGCTACGCTCAATATTCAAGACATTTCCATTAAGGACTTCTCAAGGTACAAAAAAGGATCACAAAGTTTTGGCTGTGTACAAAATGCACCTTCTGTGAATCAGACAAAAACAACAGTTTAAAAGATGTTTCATAGATAGTTATTATCAACACTGATCAGTGGAAAACATTAAATAAGATGGCTTATAAAGAGATAGTTCATCATAACCTGAAAGCTGATTATAAATGCAACTTATACACTTATATAAGCAAATCATGTTAATAAAATAAAAACCTTTTTAAAAATTTACAGCAGTCAGTTGTGCAGTATGAATAGTGCAGTAAGCACAAATCCTGCACATTTGCACAGACAGGAGTTAAATCATTGTTTTCTTTGATTGCACTAAAAGTATTCACATCTGGACGGACGTCCACGGTTTTACTGTTGGAGAGTTTTTATGTGAGCCACTTCTCCATGCAGTTCCTGAACACTGTGAAGTTGGAGTGCCAGGTTGTGTGCTTCACCCCCGAATGAACACACGTCACCAAGTCGCCACGTTGGTCCAGCGTCTTCAGCCCAAACGCATCGTTCAGGTAAAACTGAGAGAGCAGAAGGAAAATGACATGATTCAAGTTGTGTTTTTGAATGAACACAGTGGAGGGTCTGCAGTGAAAATAGTAGAGATATTAAAAAATCCAAGTTTAGTTTAACACATTTGCAATAAAATACATTCAGCTAACATTTTATTCTCTACAAGAGAGCAGTCTAACACAGCAGTCCAGCAGGAGGAGCCTTTTTGTGTTGGTCTCTGTAACATCCTTTAGTTTTGAGTTCTTTCTTAAACTTCCTGTGCCTACTTCTGGTTTTCTTTGTGTGCTCATTCTCATTTCTCACATTTGTGCCCCTTCGATCCTCCTACCTGTTTATCCAGAAAACAATCTCATTACCCCATTTTGAAGAACGTCTCGATTCCTAAAACACGTCTGGTGACAGACAACAGAAGAGGCTTGCTGCAGGAGCTACGACTGAAGACGCACAGGCGCGTCCTTTTTCAAAAGCATTTTTTACCTGTGATGCATGATAGAGGTGTGATACACTGCTGGAACATGTTGGTGGGAGGAGAACTCCAAAATGAAGTATTCCTAAATTTGCAGCATCTGCACAAATTGTATGTTCTGTTCCCTGGCTGACTCCAGCCTCTGCCTTCCTCCTCTTCCTCCTCTGGCTCAGCTTTGAAACCTCTGCACCTAGCTCCACCCGTCTCTCCCTTCATCTCTCCTCAGCAGACTGACCCACCTTCCTTTCAGCCTCAATTCCACCACCACTCCCTCCCCATCAACCACCCTGAGTAATTTTATTTTGTTAATAAAATGATCTATTTATCCTTAATTTCCTTCCTTCAACATTTGTGTGTGTGTTAAAGAAAATGTGTATAATATCCTGCCACACTTGCATGCTGTGAATGTCACTAAAAGTAGCTCTGCTATGAGATAATAAGATACAGCAGACAAATGATTCAGCTTTGCCACACATCCATCCATCTATTCTCAATTCATAAATAAAACATGGACTGTATAATGCAGCACAACTAAGAAACACCACCAATTTCCACAAAGCTGAATCAACACCTCTGTAACAGACTTAATATTATGTCAGTCATCAAGTGAAAACCTACAGCAGGACTGTGTTTTTAGCTACACCTCAATAAAAATGAAGTGTGTTGTACAGGCAGCACTTCAGTTTGCCACTAACCTCCTGCTTCTGCATTTCTACGACGTTTTCGCTGCTGTCATAGAATCCGAAGTGGCTGCACAGAAAAAAGGAAACAGTTGTTTCAGGTAAAGATGTTTCATAACTTTTACCACAAACTGATCACTTTGCAAACACATCGAAGGCTCTGCTGGTAAAAACGTTGTTGTCTCCAAACCGAGTATCTTTACAGTTTTAGTATAGGATAGGATAGAATAGCCCTTTATTGTCATTGTACATGTATAACGAAATTGTGCGTGCTCCACATAACTGTTCTGGAATAAAGTTTTATTAGCAGACAGCAGGAATAAATAGCAATCAGAAGAAATGTGCACAAACATAAGAGAAAGGCACACATTTGAGAACAAAACAGTTGCAAAGTGCAAAGAAAAGACTTGGTCTGGCCTGAGTGATGAGGGTTACTCAGACCGTGGCTCAGAGCAGTGAGGTGAGTGGGGGGATGAATGGCTCAGGGGGAGGAACTGTTTGTGAGTCTGAAGGTGGGACCTGACTGACCTGAGTGCAACTGAATACAAATATTGTACTTTGAATCCAATATTGAAAAGGACCGACATGCATCTTAAGGTGACCATCACATAAAGTGCTGCTTTGTGGCCCACAAGCAGCAGAATGCACTACAGTAAATTTTGTTCCTCCAAAATTCATGTCAGGATTTTTTCGATTGATTGAAAGCCAACAGAAGGAAATTGATGGGTCAATTTTTTTCAAACAGTCTCGCCAGTGTGACATAATGAGCCACCTCTCATTTATAAAATGTAAATGAAAGAGAACAAACAGTGTGTGCTGTAAAGCTGATGACAGTGAGACCTTGACTGCCACGGTGTGATGACACCATCATCCGGTCCTCCAATTAGCACCAACTTCTCGATTTGCAGGAAGTTTTCCCTCCACGCTGTGAAAGGAAAAGCCAAAGGCATGAACGTTTGTTTTCATGCTAACCAGTGCATATGATGACTAAACCAGATCCAATACCTTTCATGTCACTGTGAGGTCGTTCACCATTAAGGAGAGGCAGAAAGATGTTGTTCCGCAGGTAGCTGAGTCTTTGGTGAGGGTCTGTGGACAAAATATGTTTTATCTTTCAGTAAATGTGCAGACTGTCTTCAGTTAAATCTGAAGAACTCTTGTTTTCTCACCGTTCCAGTAGTCACAAATAGACACTTTTTGACCGAATTTGTTGTAGCAGATAAAATGCACATTCTTCTTTAAGGTTTTGTGGAATACCTTCTGCAGGTAGTCTGTGTCTGTGGAGTAAGAGGATAAGATCAAGTTCATCTTAAACATCCTGGTGACTATTGAGAAGTGTGTTAAAAAGCTCACATTCTTTAAATGTTGAAGCTTATGCAGACAAGTTTTTAAAAGCTCTCTGACCTCCGTACTGTCCAGCCAGTGGGGATGAAAGTGAAATGAAGGTGTGCACGTTGTGGTTGGGAGTCGTGGAGAGAAGTGCTCGACAAATTAGACCACCTTCATGGAAAAAAAGAAACTAAAAATGAGTCTCAGCTTCAGAAATTTCTACCTTAAATTCATCAGTCCTCACTATTATGCAGTTTCTCTATATAACTACTGCGTACTACGATAGAGATGAACCAGCGGCTAGAAGTGGAAGAGTGTGATGTGTCGTATTTTTACCTAAACTTGCTTAAACCTAACCAATGAATAAAAGTTAAAACATGATAACAATAATTAATTTTAAAAAATTAAATCAATCACACAGACAAAGTAAAAGCTAAATTCAAAATTCAAAAAGTCCCAGTGGGATATAAACTATTGTCTCCTGGATGAAAATCCTCTAAATTATGACTTTACCACCTCTCCAAACTCTAAATGTGGACCTTCTAAGTCCCCAGAATTGGACCTTTATTTCTCAGTTGTCAGGTGGGCATCAACGCTATAAGACTATGTTTTTGTTATTTTTCTATCAAATCTGTTTTTCTATTAAATGTTTAATTGTACGGCAGGAGCACCTTGTGAAAAGCACAGAAGATGGACACCATCAGGAGCATTTTTCATGATGGAGTTGAAGGACTGCCTGAAGTCTGGGACCTGCTTCCACAGCGGCTGCAGACTCAACAGGTCGTCGTACAAGTCGATCACTGTGACCTCAGTGCCTGGATGCACCTGAGAAGTGCAAAGAAATTGAAGTGGAAGTAAAACTTTTGGCACAATGAGGGGAAACATCAGCTGTCATAAATCTTCAGCCAGGTGCTCGAATGCAGAACTCTTAAGTCAAAATTGATCCTGAGGAAATGAAAGACACAGAGGAACAGAAATCGCTAACTGGAAACCATTTGCTGATTTTCACTTCACTGTTTTGTTTTATCTGATATGTTATCAAGTCCAATATCATTTTAAGTATTTTATTCCTACTTGAAATACAAAATTCTGCCTTGAACCTACAGTAGGATAGAAGCTCTTGATTTGCGTGTTGAACATTTGGTGGATTCAGGTACCGTTGAGGAAATACCAACCAGTTCAATTTACACACAAACAGATTGTTGTTTAACCAGGAAAGACCCACTGAGATTTATAATGTCCTTTACACGGCCAACCTGGACAACAACAGCACTAAAACACATGACACGTAAATCTTTACAGAGCATGAATTTTTATGTTGATCGAGATTATTAACCCTGTCATGCATGAATTATGAAAACCTCGATCCAGATTTTTAAGCATTTTTATTCATCTTTAGGAATTAAACATGAATAAAAACACTTAAGAAAAACTCTGATTGAGGTTGTCATAATTCATGCATGACAGGCTTAAATAAGAATAATTACAATGAAACACGTCATACATCTATAGTAACATAAAAGGACCAGTGGGTGGTGTGGAGTGACACATCAGTGTCCAGTGTAGAGGTTTATGTGCAAGTATGCCATCGACACTGACACAAATACAAGAAAACAGCCTTTGAATAGCTGTCACTGTAGTGACCACTATACATGAACGGGTTAACATATTATTAACATATAAGGTGAACAAAATTGGCCCCAGAATTGATCCCTGGGAAACACCTTCAACCACATCAAGGAAGCAAGAGGTGATGCGTTCAGCATTCACACACTTAGTTCTGTTGGAAAGATCATCTTTGAACCACTCACAGTTTTTGCTTCAATAGCTCATGATCTACAGTGTCAAAAGCCTTGGAAAAGTCCATGAAAAAGGCTGCACAGTGTTTCTGTGCAAAGCCTCAATAAAATCATTTAGTACTTTTAAGGCTGCTTGAACAGACTGAACACGTGATCTAATATCATGACTGATGAGATATTCCTTCCTATTGCTCACTTACAAGAGACACTTTGGGGGCTTTTCATTCGTCTTTGGAAAGGATCAAACAACAGTCGAGCGCACAACTGTAGTTTATATGGTTTTGGATGAATAATAACAAGCATAGAATCATAAGCACATTATCTGCCTGCTGCGGTGACAGAATACAGTCAGAACATCCCGTGCAAAAGATACTCGGAGCAAATCCAGTTTAAAAAGTAATCATTTCAAAGTCTTTTAACTTGAAATGTAAGTCAAAGAAGTAAATCTTTAAGCGTGATCACTGAGTTCTAATAACTAGTACTTAATGATCAGACTTACCCCCTTTTAGCATTGTTCTCTGTCAATCAACAGCTTGGCGGCTGGATCCCAGTATCCATAAGAGTGTGAGTGTTAGTTCGGTTAAAAGCACCTGAAAATGTTTTTAATGCTCAAATAGAACAGGAAAGCTCTGTGTGAGTACCAGTTTATTTATTATTAAAAAAATAAAATAAAATCACTGTTGTGAACTGTAATGTTTGATAAAGTTGGCTTTAGTCGAAAAATATGCAGACTTGTTGCCCCAAAGTTACTGAAAGTCAACCGAGAAAATGATACAAACTTGTTTTGACTGCGTGTGCAAATGAGGACAAGCCTCGAACTTGAAAACACATTTTCATTATTTTATAATAAATATGTAAACATGCTTGTACGCAGTTTTTAGTACCGCTCTAGAGACAACGCAGGAAAACTGGTTTTAAATTTGAACAGCTACTCTGAACATGAACTTGGCCTGGAGACGTTAATCACTGAGCCCGAGTCCTGCGGTCCGTTAATAGCTGAACACTTCCACCAGAAACACATCCCCGAAAAACCAAAGTCTAAACGCAACCGTGGACACAACAGGACCGCCTTAAGACTCTAATATCGAACATTAACAGGCCCGTGAGTCTTTGTGCACATACAAGTTTGCACAAAACACATCAAAGTAAAGACATCACCACAAGCACGAATAATACACCACTTTTAATTCCTGTGGTAAATAAAGCGGCTCTAACGCATTTGGAGCTGTTTTCGAGCCTTGTTGTTCTGCAGCAGAGATATCGCACGCTGTGCGCGGTCCTACCTTCTTTATGAACCTTGACAGGTTCTGGAACTGCTGTGGTCCATCAAAGATGCCATGCACGATGATGACTGGTTTATAGCTGTCCACGCAAACACCTGCGACCACCAGCAGCAGCAGCAGCAGCATCGGGCCACGCGACCCTGCGGCTACCCGTGGACACTTCATCTCCGCCCGGATACAGGTGAGAAGCAGTGCGGGGGGCTGTAGATGATCCCGAGGACTTTGACCTGAGGTGGTGTCGTTAATACGGCCGATGAGGGACTA